AAAAAAAAGCTTGAAAATGAGATTTCGATTAGAAGTGATTTGTGAGAAACACGAATCACTTATCATCGAATCGAGGCATTCGAGCTTTTTTTTGTTTTCTGTTACTCAAAAACTGATGAATTTAGAGGAAAGGAAGGAAGGAGATTAGGAAGCCACATTAACAATAATTTTATGCGTTTGTTACAACGATTCGCGATGAGACTGGGATCGAGTCGTATCAACAATTCATACAGCGTATGAATCATCGATACGTGTTCGCGAATCAACGTAAGAACAAATAAAATTTCTTTAGATTCAATCAAATAAAAAATAATACACATAAAAAATTAAATATAATCCAAAATAAATAATAACAATTATTCTCTGTTTAATTATCTAATCAGTTTTAAACCGATTAGATTTTTTTTTGTGTAATTTAAAATGTCATCTTCAAGTAATTCTGATTCTGAAACTCAAGAATCGGTTGATAAAAAAGTAAAAAAAGAACATGCAAATTTCACATGGTTCAGAGAAAATGAAAAAACAAATTATCGTAGACCAATTATGTTTCCTGATAATGATGGATATATAATTGAATATACTCAAATTAAGTTGAGTGATAAGCAAAATGCTCTTCTTGACAGAAAACATCGAGAATTCTTGAAACAGCATAAATTTGTTCTCGATAAGAACAATAATATCGTTGAAGCAACTACTAAAGAATTTTTACTCGAATTACTTTATAAAGTTAAATTAGCAAACATCGAATTTAAGAATGGTTATCCGTTTGATTTACGTGAATGTAATATCGAAATTATTTAATTAACAATAGTTAAATTATCTAAGAAGTTGTAGCAATTTCCTTTCCATTGTTGTTTTCACTTTTTTTTGTTGTTGTTTTTTTTGACTTTGTTTTATATGAATCAATAAAAAATTATGTTTTGCAGTATTGAGTTATCAGTTTGTGTAATGATATGACAAATCAAAGAATTTAATGTTCAAGATGATTATTGTGTAGGAAATTGTCAAAGTCATTTATTTTTTGTTAATTTATATTTTCAATATTTTCAATAAAACCTAATCCATTTTTTGGATTTTCTGAACTGGTTTTCCACATTTCAGCAATAGCCTTCAAAGTTTCACCATTGGTTTCGTATTTTTCTTTCAAATTATGAAAATTATCCTGAACGAAATTTTGATATTTAGTTTGTTTTTTTTCTTTTTTTCCTATTTTAGATTCTTTCTTAGATTTGGATTTTTTCTTTTTTTTGTCATCATCGGTATAGTGAATATCAGCTAATCGTTCAATGTTTGTCAGATTTGTTATCACATAATCAGGATCGTAACTGGTTAACAATTTGATGAAATCTTTTTTATCGTATGCTTTTTTTAGAATCTGCTTAAGCTTCTTATTAGAAATTTTACCCATGTTTCTTAGTTTTTTATATAAAGATGGTTTAGACTATTTATACTTTTATTATGAATTAAAAATATTGTTAAACATACTGTTTTTTATTTTTTTACATTTATTTATTAAATTTTTTAATATATAATAAAAAGAAAAATTAAATATCCATCGATAAGATAGTTTCATTATTTTTAACAATTTTAAAAAATATAGTATTTTGAGGTAATATAAACAATCCAAGTTTTCGTTATCTTTGTTTAAATTTGATTCTTTTAGATTTTCTTGAGTTTCAGTTTGATAATAGCGTAATTAATAAAGATAAATAAATATTAAAATAAAAAAAAGTTTTTAATACTAAAACGTTATTGGATATCCATTTCTATTTCCTGTTTTTTTTTTTTTTTGCTCCAATTTAAAATCTATTGCTAATTGTTTTACCTGCTCAGAGGTTCTTTTTTTGTTAATATAAAACCATTTAGATTTATGTTTGTTATTTTCGTAATATTGAAATCTCCAACAATTTAAAGATTTGTCAAAATTAATTCCATTATATCCAAATAAATTATTTTTTTGTAATTTACAATTAAGCATATTTTTTTGATGTATTGTTTCTCGAAGATTGCATTTGCGATTGTCTAATCCACATCGATTAATATGATCAATCATATCCCATTCAGGATGAATCAATCGATGAAGTTTTAAATTTTTATAATTTTGATCTTTGTCATTTGTCCAAATGTAATATATATTTTCATTTTTAGTTTTATAATAAGACCAGGTATAATTTTGCAGCAAACGAAAATTCTCCTTATCGAGTAGGAATGTGATTCCTGGTTTTTGTGTTTTGATTTCTAAATAGATAGTGAAATTAATTTTTATGAGACGATATTCGTTCAATTTGAGTCTTGGTTTTTCAGGATTCTCATATTTTTCCCAATCAGTTAAAATTTCAAAGTCTTTAGTTTGATATTTTTTTTTTGTTAATAAAAATTCAATTGAATTTTTTGAAGTATTTATATTTTTATTTTAAGTTATAATTTTTAATTGCTTCAATAAAACTCTCCCATAAATTCGCAGAATGTTTTCTTCGAAATACAAATTCTTTCAAATATAATTCTAATTTTTCTTTAGTTCTATCTCTTTTTAAGATGTTCATCTTAATACCAGCCCATGTTCCCTCTATATGCTGAGTATGAATCCGTTTTATAATTTGATTTTTACTTGGTTTTTTATGATTAACTCTTTTATGTTTAAATTTCATTCCCATTTTTTCTAATTCACAATATCCTTTCCATGAATCTGTATATATAGTTGAGCCGGGTTTTACGTGCGTTTTGATTAATCTTTTTAGTGTATAAGCATTTCGATCTTTTACCATTTTAAAGAAACATTTTCTCAGTTTTGTTCT